TTGGGGAGGACGATGTCCACATTAGTGGTCCAGGAGCGCCACCCCTGACTGATATGCGCAAAGTCGACAAAGTCCGCTTTCTTGACTTCCCCATATCCCCAGCCAGGTTCGGCGACACTGTCTGTGAATTCACCCAGGAATTCAAGGCGGTGAGAGAGCAGTTGGTGGGTGATGTCTTATCGGCGGTCCGTAGCCCGCTCCGCCCGCCGTGCCATTCATACCTGCTCCTCGCCGAAGGCGCCCGCCTACGAGAGCTGCTCCGCCCCCGCACACGCCTTCGGCGAAGCGAGCGCGTCGGGCACCTCGGAAGCAGGCAGCCCCCCTGCCCAGAACGCCGTTAAGTCCGGCAACGGACCGCGAAGCGCCCCTGGGACAGGCCATCTGGAGAAGAGGGAACTTGCTCTTTCCCCGCTGGAGGGCGGGGCCCCATTTCCAACGGCACTTTTTACTGCCATGAAAACATTATGAAAGGGCACTTTTCACTTCCCCAGATGTGACAGCCCGAAATCTGCCAGTCTGGGACGCTATGCTTTCTAGCTTGCAGATTCGGTGCGTTTCGCCAGTGGCTCACGAGCGCTGGGAGGACGGTCTCCTTTCTCCCACCCCTCGAGCCTCCCCTCCGGAGCTCGGGTTTGGAGTGAGAGCAAAATATCTCACCTCCAGCTTTTCCGTGGGACCCGCGAGCTTCCCGGATCAGCACACCCACTCCGCGCTGCCCCACTGCTGGTACGTCAGCGATTGTAGCGATGAGTCCATTAGCGAGAGCTCTGCCTGCCTGGTTAGCGCGGGCCAGCTCTTCGCGGTGGCTCATACGCACAATCAGACTCGGCTATGCGATTCAGTTCGCGAAACGGCCCCCCAAGTCACGGGTGTGTATTCACCAGGGTCAGCCCCCTGTCCGCCCCTGTCTTGCGAGAGGAGATTGCTGTCCTCCTGGCGAAGGATGCAATCGAGCCGCTCCCTCCAGCCGAGATGGAGAGCGGGTTTTACAGCCCACGCTTCATCGTGCCCAAAAAGAGCGGTGGGTTACGGCCAATCCTAGATCTGCGCGTTTTGAACCGCTGCCTGCACAAGCTGCCGTTCAGAATGCTAACGCAGAAGCGCATCCTCCGGTGCGTTCGTCCTCTGGGTTGGTCTGCAGCATTAGACCTGATGGACGCGTATTTCCATGTCTCCACTCTTCCTCGCCACCGACAGTTCTGCGGTTTGCGTTTGAAGGTCGAGCTTGGCAATACAAAGCCCTCCCCTTCGGGCTCTCTCTGTCTCCGCGGGTCCGCACCAAGCCCGCGGAGGGTGCCTCAGCGCCCCTTCGGCTCGCGGGCATCTGCATACTCAATTTCTTTACGACTGGCTGAATTTGCCCTCTCTTTGATTATGCACAGAGTTGATTATGCACAGAGACAAAGTGCTCTGGCACTTCCACCTGTGGGGGTTTCAGGTCAACCGAGAAAAGAGCAAACTCGCCCCTGTGCAGAGGATCTCTTCTCTCGGGCTGGAGCTGGACTCGGTCACCATGGCAGCGCGCCTCTCCGGAGAGCGCGCTCAGCTGATGCTGTACTGTCTGAGAGAGCTCGACAGTAAGATAGTGGTCCCACTGAAACTATTTCAGAGGCTCCTGGGGCATATGGCATCCGCAGCCGCTTCATGCCGCTCGGATTATTCTATATGAGACCACTTCAGCACTGGCTTCACGATCGAGTCCCCAGACGCGCATGGCACGCGCGCGCACACCGAGTCTCTGTTACTGCGCTGTGTCGCCGCGCCCTCAGCCCTTGGAGCGACCCCTCGTTCCTACAGGCCTGGGTGTCTCTAGAACAGGCGTCCAGTCTTGTTGTCGTTTCAGCAGACGCTTCCAACACGGGCTGGGGGGCTGTGCGTTGCGGGCATGCGGCTGCGGACCTGTGGAAAGGTACCCAGTTGCATTGGCATATCGCCTGGAGCTGTTGGCAGTGTTCCTCGCTCTCCACCGTTTTTTTCCGGTGCTGGAGCGGCAACACGTGCTGGTCAGGACGGACAGTACGGCGGCGGTGGCGTATATCAGCCGTATAGGGGGTATGCGCTCTCGCCGCATGTCTCAGCTCGCCCGCCGTCTGCTCCTCTGGAGTCATCCGCGGCTGAAATCGCTGCACGCCATTCATATTCAGGCAAGCTCAACCGTGCAGCCGATGCGCTCTCACGGCAGCCTTGCGTCCTGGAGCATGGAGACTCCACCCCGAGTCTGTTCAGCTGATATGGGCGCGATTCGGGGAAGCCCAGATCGATCTGTTGCTTCCCCCGAGATCGCTCATTGCCAGTTGTTCTTTCCCTGACCGAGCGCTCTCGGCACGGATGCACTGGCTTACAGCTGGCCTCGGGGCACGCGCAATACGCGTTTCCCCCAGTGAGCCTGCTCGCGCAGTTACTGTGCATGGTCAGGGAGGACGAGGAACAGGTTGCTGGTTGCGCCCCTCTGGCTCAACCGGACCTGGATGTCAGAGCTCTCCCTCGCGATAGCCCTCCCCTGGCAGTCCCTTCGAGAGAGCACCTACTCTCTCAGGGACAGGGCACCACCTGGCACCCTCGCCGATCTTTGGAGATTTTTAGACGCGAGGAAGACTTAGGTAACCTCCGATTGCGGTGGCTAATACCGTCACTCGGGCTAGAGCCCCCTCCCCGAGCGCGCCTATGCCCTGACGTGAAGTCTATTCACTGAATGGTGTGTCTCTCGCTGAGAAGACCCCCGTAATTTGCCAGATCAGCGTTGTGCTTTCTTTACGCCGAGAGAAGCTGGAGAGCAGGCTGTCGCCCTCCACACTCAAGGTTACGTGGCTGCCATCTCCGCTCTCATAACGCGGTGGCTGGCAGCACCGTGGGAACGCATAACCTCATCATCCGGTTCCTCAGGGGCGTTAAGCGAATTAATCCACCCCGCCCCCTCTCATGCCCTCTTAGGATCTCGCCCTCGCTACACAAGCCGCGTCAGATCCCTTCGATCCTCGACTCAGTATATTTCTGTCCCTGAAGACAGCTCTGCTGGTCGCGTTGATATCGATCAGAGGGTCGGGGACCCGGAGGCATTTTTCGGTCAGTGACTCGTGCCTGTAATTGGGCTGGCTTCTCTCACGTATGAGACCCCGCCCGCGATATGTGCCCAAGGTTCCTACCACTCCGTTTTAATACGAGGTAGTGAGCCTGCAAGCGCTGCCCTCGGAGGAGGCAGACCCAGCCCTTATTTATTGTCCAGTTCGCGTTTTGCGTATTATCCGGACCGCACTCAGAGTTTAGATCATCTGAGCAGCTCTTCGTCTGTTATAGCGGTCGGCAGCAGGGAAGTGCCGTACCGAAATAAGTTCCCACTAGATTGTGGATGCCTTCTTTCACTATCAGAGCCGAGATGAGCCGCGTCCCCCGAGAGCGCGTGCGCACTCCACTCGGAGCTTCGCATCCTCTCGAGCGCACGCACGCGGCGCCCCTCTAACAGACATCTGTAGAGCTGCGGGCTGGGTGACACCCAACACATTTGCAAGGTTTTACAATCTGCGAGTGGAGCCGGTTTCCTCAAGGGTATTAGGTAACCCTTGGTGATTGAGGAAACAATTCGGTAGGGTGTTGAAACACGCTTGCTGCGCCATTTTCCCTAACACGGAGATACGTGCGCCTTTTTATCTGTCAGTAAAGTTCCCCGTCAGGTGAGCCCTGCAGATTCCTCCGTGGCCCCCAGCACTGACTCAGCGGAGGAGTCACTTGCTGGCCCACTACGTTGTAGGTCTGCCCGCTGGTCAGCCCGCGTTTTGGGTAAAGGTGCCTGCTATGCGTGGTCCCCACTAGGCGATCCCATATGCTTATTCAGCCACGGTTAAGTCCCCCCCTGGGCGGACCCGTGTCTTCCCTCCCCGCTAACCACTCTTTTGCTATGCGTACTCCCCCTTTTTTAGGGCTAGTCCATATGTAAATTCTGCCATCTATCCCCCCTTGGGTAACGGATGGCCTCCGCAGCGTCCTCCCTATCGGGATTGCACGCTTCCCAACGTACTGTCGTATTTCCTAGAATTATCTAGATGCTCACGACTTCCCAAAAAAAAAAAAAAAATTATATAAATCCGTAAAACTTCTGTTGAAGTAGGATAAATTAGGGCCAGGGACACGTTGGAGGACCGCGCCCCCCATGATGTGGGTGCGTCACGCTTGCTTGACTATCTCCTCATCGGGGGTGTTGGTAAGGTGCAGTCATTATGGCGCTTTCAATGGGCTCCCAATGCGTGGATTTTACAATCAAATCCACTTATAGTGCTGAAGTTCCCCCCGAAGGGGAACGTTCGAGGTTACTAAAGTAACCCTTCGTTCCCCGAGGAGGGGAACGGAAGCACTATACTCCGTCGCCATAATGACTGTCCCTTAGCTGTTGAAAGTCTCTTCAGCTTAAAAAGGATAGCGTCTGCTGGCGCCAGGTGAGCTTATATACTCAGTTGATTGCTTATGCCGCTCACCTGCGCAGGCTTGCGCTGCCAATTCATTCTTAATTGGCCCGTTCAATACTCTTTCAGACGAGTAGCTTCTGAACCGAACCTCCCAATGCGTGGATTTTACAATCAAATCCACTTATAGTGCTTCCGTTCCCCTCCTCGGGGAACGAAGGGTTACTTTAGTAACCTCGAACGTTATACAAATTATATTGATACAGTAAAAATGTTACACTATTAGTACAGTAAAGCCAAAGTTAATTATCATAATACATCCATAAACAAAATTCAATTAAATAATTACAGGATTCGACTGAAACTGATTACGGATATAACAAGTACATACTGTACTGTATTCTGTCTTCTCATCATTAAGGTTAAATGCTGATAGCCTGCGACCATTTATTGACTGCTGATTTGAGGGCTTTCTTATGAGGTTAATAAATTTATTTTATTTTACTTCTCACATACATATATTTTAAAGGTAAGTGTGCAGCTATACACAATAGTCAACGTATTGGAGGCATTAGATCTTAAATAATTGCACTCTTTCTTCTGAAGGAAAATGGGACAAGCCTTTTAACCCAGAAACAACCAGCGAGAGTACATTTCATATAGATGATAAGACCACCGTTCCAGTGCAAATGATGCATCAGTATGAACGTGTCAAAGTCTATTATGATGCTGAACTGTCCACTAAAGTTCTCTGCCTTGACTACAACGATTCCTTCTCCATGTTTCTGGCAGTCCCAGATGTTCACATGGGGAGAAAAACCATCAAAGATCTAGAGATGACAGTCTCTAGGCAGCACGTTGAAAAGTGGAGGAGAAGTGTATCTGAGCGGTTGGTTGTCTACATCTAAACTAAAATCCAAAGTTACATCCTAATTTTTTCATTAAAGTGTTTTAAGTGCGTTCATCATATGGATTACCCAGTCATCTTTAACCACAGAGACTTCTTTTTTTTCCTGCAGAATAGTTGACATCTACGTCCCCAAGCTTTCTCTGAAAGCATCATACTCCCTGAAGGATATTTTGAAGGGAATGGGAATGGCTGATATGTTTTCAGATAAAGCCGACTTTACAGGAGTTTCAGAGGAAAAGATCTTCGTTTCAAAAGTAAAGTTTCAAATCCATCTCTATTCAAAGTCAAAAAGTCAAGTCAACAGTGATTTGCAGTTCTGAAAAGATTATATACAGTATCTAAACTGATTTTTACCCTTTGATAAAAAAAAAAAAAAAAAACATTTTAGTTTAGGTTACAATTCCTGTTATTAACAAACCAATAACTAACACTTCCATAAACACAATTCAATTAAATAATAATGGGATTAGACTGAAAATGATTATGGATATAACAAGTGCATACTGTACTGCATTCTTATATCATTAAGGTTAAATGCTGATGGCCTGTGACCATTTATTGACTGCTGATTTGAGGGCTTTCTTGGAGGTTAATAATTTATTTTCTTACTAAAGTTAAATAAAAAGTAAACAGACTAAAGGTTGTTTTAAGATCAAACAAACTGTAAGAGCACAGGCTTTATAACTCAGTCTAGTTTAAGAAAAGAGGAACAACAGCTGTCTGAAGAGGTAGGACATTTCTGTGCTTGAGATCTGAATTATTGAATAATTGTTTTGTTTGATAAACATATGTAAATATGATCTTTTAGATGAACATTAGAAGACAGAAAATACAGAGCAAGATGAATTGTTCATTGTCAGTGATGCGTCAAACTGTCACGAACATGTCCTCATTGTCACAAAAATGTTGCTAAACTCTGTTCAATTTCTTCTCAGAGACTTCAAGACCATGGAACAGAACGGTGTATTTTTGTGGATTTGTGGTTTTGCAATAGTTGTCTGTGGGAATCAAGAGACTTTACAACAACCTCCCATTAGCGCTAAACTCCCGTCATTGATAAACATGAACAACGATTTTGCTTTTCACCTGTACAAGAGGCTTATAGAATCGCCTGACTATCAGTCTAAAAACATCTTCTTCTCTCCGTTCAGTGTGTCTATGGCCCTTTCTGAGCTTTCTTTAGGAGCCGGTGGAGACACCAAACAGCAGCTTCTCAGTGGCATTGGCTACAGTAGTGCAATCTTCAGCACTGAGGAAATGCACCAGCTGTTTCACAGTCTCCTGGAAGACATCGGCAATAGGACAGGAGTGGACATCGATGTTGGCACTGCTCTTTATGCAAGCGACCGATTTAAGCCTCATTCCAAGTTTCTGGAGGACATGAAGGAGTTTTACCACTCTGATGGCTTCACTGTAGATTTTAGTGTCAAAGAAACAGTCGATCAAATTAATAAATATGTGGAGGAAAAAACACATGGAAAAATCAATCAAGCTGTTGATGATCTGGATGCGGATACTTTTATGGTACTTCTCACATACATATATTTTAAAGGTAAGTGTGCAGCTATACACAATAGTCAAAGTATTGGAGTTCTGGAAATGGCATTAGATCTTAAATAATTCCACTCTTTCTTCTGAAGGAAAATGGGACAAGCCTTTTAACCCAAAAACAACCAGCGAGAGTACATTTCATATAGATGATAAGACCACCGTTCCAGTGCAAATGATGCATCAGTATGAACGTCTCAAAGTCTATTATGATGCTGAACTGTCCACTAAAGTCCTCTGTCTTGACTACAACGATTCCTTCTCCATGTTTCTGGCTGTCCCAGATGTTCACATGGGGCGAAAAACCATCAAAGATCTAGAGATGACAGTCTCTAGACAGCACGTTGAAAAGTGGAGGAGAAGTGTATCTGAACGGTTGGTTGTCTACATCTAAACTAAAATCCAAAGTTACATCCCAATTGTTTCATTAAAGTGTTTTAAGTGCATTCATCATATGGATTACCCCGTCATCTTTAACCACAGTGACTTCTTTTTTTCCTGCAGAAAAGTTGACATCTACGTCCCCAAGCTTTCTCTGAAAACATCATACTCCCTAAAGGATATTTTGAAGGGAATGGGAATGGCTGATATGTTTTCAGATAAAGCCGACTTTACAGGAGTTTCAGAGGAAAAGATCTACGTTTCAAAAGTAAAGTTTCAAATCCATCTCTATTCAAAGTCAAAAAGTCAAGTCAACAGTGATTTGCAGTTCTGAAAATATTATATACAGTATCTAAACTGATGTTTACCCTTCGATTAAAAAAACAAAAAACATTTTAGTTTAGGTTACAATTCCTGTTATTAACAAACCAATAACTAACACTACCAGCTTAACAATCTTATCTAAACTAAATCTAACAAACTAAATCAACTGTTTAATAATAGTTAGTAAAAGCTGTGTTTAGATTTGGGTAAGATTAGGAATGCAGAACAGGAATATACTTTATAACTACTAATGAACAGGTAATGTCTTAATAGTAGGTAATAAGCCAGTAGTTAATAGCATGAATCGTGACCTACTGTAACTGAAGTGTTACTGAAATATGAGCAGCATTTATTTTCAATTTATATTCACTGAATCTTATCAAGTTAAATATTTGGTCAAATCAAAATAAGACTCTGTGAATCAGAACTGAATCCATTCAGGCAGCAACTTTTGTAGTTTTTGAAGATTTGAGCACAGGGACTGTTTTGACAGGGATTGTTTTAAATATACAATTAAAAGACTTTAAGAGGAGTTTGTTTGATTCACTTTTAGGTTTTGCATAAAGCCACTCTGGATATCGATGAGAAAGGAACCACCGCAGCAGCAGTGACAACAGTTCATTTAAGATTTATGTCCTACAGCCCAATGAGTGATTTGAGTTTTGATCGCCCATTCATGATCTTTATCACGGATCAAACAAATGACAACATCCTTTTCGTTGGGAAAGTGGTCAACCCAAATGAAAAACTATGATGTGGCCCACAAGATGTTAAAACAATGTTAACCAGTAGGTGGAAACCATTTAACAACTGCTGTGCCATATATTGCTGACTTCCTGCAGAGTTCAGTTCTTATTGTTATAAAACAGCTGGATCAGCTAATGTAGGTGATGGTGGGAAATAAAATGCAAAAAACTGGACTTGCAACACAGGGTGCCATGCAGACTTTGTGAGATTAATTTAATCTTACCCACCAAATGACAACTGTTATATAATTTTATTTCATTTATTTACTACTGATTTGATTACTTTCATACATCACACATTTTGTGTTCAATAACTCAACTCTGGATGGAAAATAAGGAGCTAAAATAACGATACAAAAACAAATTGCTGAACTTCACTCACAGTAGAAGAACACAAAACCTTTTTCTTAAAGGTGCAGTATGTAAGTTTGACCCAGTAGTTGAACTAGGATATTGCATTCCTGGATCAAAGTACATGCAAATGCAGGTTGCCAGATTGAGGACCAACAGGAGAGAGTCTGACGATCAGGCCTAAAGGTTGATTTAAACCGTGTTCTAAATAAAAGCAGCGGCATATGAAAGAAGAAATATTTCCCATATTAGTTTTTGTTCTAACCAACTCCTTGAATTGATATATTAGAGACGGCTTCTATTTCCTGCAGCTGAACAACAGAAAACTGACAATGATCACCTCAGATACACCTCATGTGCTTTATTTAGTGTTAAATGCTAAGAGTTTTGTGAGTTTAAATGTCATTTTAAATGACATTTTTTGCAGCAGCAGCAGAGTATTTCACCTCAGATCTTGAAAATAAAGGTGACTCAAAACCACAACATACCAGTGATTCAGCATGTACATTTAATAAATGAATAAATGAATCGTGTTGGATCTTTTGCCTGAATGCATCGATGTCGACACAGTACACCAAATAAGCAATACCGGATGGTAAAATGTGAAAGCGCCTTTCCCTTCAGACACTTACAAAGAAAAGGGGGGTGGTGGTTCACTAGTCACATAGTGCTGTGTTTGTTTCTGTCATTTTTTTTTTATACAATAACCTACGCTGCAACCATAGACTGTAAAATATATGCACGTAGTATCCGTGACGTCACCCATAGGTTTCTGAACACTTCCCTTCTTTGGTATCCTTGGCTTCTTTTGCAAAGAGGCGGAGAGTGAGCGGAGCTACAGACACCTGCTGGCATTTTGCTTGGACCTGGCTAGACAGACTTTACTTCGGGAAAACGCTTAATACTTTATTACCTGTGACTCGTTTGTGTTCTAACCACATGTGTTTGGTTGTACACTTTATCAATAAAGTGTTTAGACTTTTAAAAACACTGTTGTAATACACTGAGCCACTAAACATTGTTCTTATGACGTTTTACTACAGGAGGAAAACTTGTAAGAAGTCCATAAGGCAACTGACTGTGTAAAGCCACTTTAAACAAAACAAAAATACGATGAATATGCCGAGTCCAGGGGCTAATCTGCTGGAGTCAGCTGAGGTGAAGAGACGGCGACCAGTGAGACCTAGCTGTCACTCAAGTGGCCACGCCCTTAATTATGCAAACTTAATATAGCCTAATATAATGGATACGGATGAGTTATAAAAAAAAAAATTCACCCCTCTCACATTTGTCATGAAGGGTAATATTGGCTATATATGCCAAAATCGATTTTCGATGAATTGCTGTTCCCCTTCATATGGGAACTTCGACGTGTAACTGTATAAGCAGACTTTGGGAGTGCTTTAGACAACCAATCTTTTCTGAAGATATAAAAATGGGCCAATGAAATGCCAATTGGCTGTGTAAGTCGGCTGTGTAAGTTAGCTCGTCAGAATTGTTGCTTCAGACCCGATCTGAGACTGAAGAACCCTTCTGCTGAGCTGACTTCCAACATTGAAGAAAGCCTTGCCTTCACCAGTGTGGGAGAAGCTGGGTTTCCCGTTCCCTTGGCGTTTGGCTGGTGATCTGAAAGAGCAGTTTACTGAAAAAGCAGAATTTCCTAAGAGAGCACACGGTCGTACAGCACGTCTTTTTAAAGATGTCGTTTCAACCTTGCATTTCTGAATTTGGTGGTTTCCTCGCCCTGGATGACAGGCACGAGTATTTCGTCACATGTTTGGGGGTCCAACATGTTGATGCGGTGCTCGCAGACAGTTCTTGCCCACATTGCGATGGCTTGACTGTTGCGCAACTGAGGTCGCAGCGAGCTCTTTTATTGGGGCAAGTCACCCCTGCTGCTTCCCGCCAAGCAGTTAGCAGTCGGGCAGACCTGAGAATTACAGTGGGGGCTAATCCGTCGCCTTCGGGCCCGCGGACCCCTCGCTCCCCTCCAGTGCGCTCTGTTTCTGCTTCGAGTGTGAGCGCTGGTCTATCCTCCGGGCTGGCCGTGCTTGCATTAGATGACAACGGGGTCGTGACATCCATCGCTGCATTGGAGGGCGGGCTGACATGCTCCGAGGAAAGTCCGGACCCCCTGCCACCCTCCGGGGTTGTCAGTATGGTTACGGATCTATAATTGGACATGTTAGCTCTGTTATCCTGCCCTCCGGGGTTGTCAGTATGGTTACGGATCTATAATTGGACATGTTAGCTCTGTTATCCTGGGCTGCTTCGGCCGTTGGGCTGGAGATGGCTTGTCCCCCAGAACCCCGTCCGGACCGCTTAGATGGGTGCTATGTGGGGGTGAAGGTGAAGCCTTCTAGATCCCCCGTCCCCTTCTTCCCTGAGGTACACAGAGAGCTCAAGCAGGCATGGAGGGCACCTTTTTCTGCCCGGTCCTCATGCGCTCCCGCTCTCACCTCCCTTTATGATGGAGCTGCCAGGGGATATGAGGTGATTCCCCTGGGGGAGCGTGCTAGCCGTTCAACTTGTGGTGATTCGCCCAAACTCCCTTCCAAGGCGTGCAGTTTCTCTGAGTCTCTCATGGCCAGAGCCTACTCTGCTGCGGGTCAGGCCGCCTCCGCTCTGCACGCTACGGCCACCTATCAACACTACCAAGCCGAGAAGCTGGCCAAGATGCAGGAGGGAGGTTCTCCCCCAGGCTTGCTGCATGAGCTCCGCACAACCGATTATGCTCTCATGACCACCAAATTGGCTGCTCGTGCCCTGGGGAAGACGATGGCCACATTAGTGGTCCAGAAACGGCACATATGGCTGAGCTTGGCTGATATGAGTGACGTTGACAAAGCTCGCTCCCATATCCCAGGCTGTCCTTTTCGGCGACACCGTTGGGTGGTTCACCCAGGAATTCCCCGCGGTGAAAGAGCAGTCCAAGGCGATGGGTGAAGTCATCGATCAGCGGGCTCGGAAAACTGCTCTTCCCGCTGCCCCTTCTGCTGCGGCAGCTCCTTGCCCAGGGCGTCCACCCACGGCTTCAACATCTGCTCCGCTTCCGCTGCCCGCTCCACCGGCAATGCCGAGCCTCCCGCGGGACTGCAACGCCACCGCCCCAGGGCGCCATTAAGTCTGGTAAACGGACCGCGAACCGTTCTCGGGACGGCCCATTCGGAGAAGAGGGGACCTGCTCTTTCCTCGTGGGGGGCCGAGGATTATAACATCAGTCCTCAATGACTCTAAACTCATCGTTGCCGGCCTCTGGGCTAACGGCAACCAAATTTCCAAAAGAGCAGTTTCCTCTCTCTCCGGATGCGCAAACCCGAGTACTGCCAGTCTGGGACGCTCCCTCCGCCTTCCAGCTCGCAGCGCCAAAACACCTTGCCTCAGGCCCTCAGAGTGCAGCAGAACGGACTCCTTTCTCTCACTCTGGCCTCACCGCGGAATCCAGGGAGGAAGGTAAGAGAAATTCTCTTATTTTCAGCTCTTCCTCGGGACGCTTTGCTTCCCGGGATGAGCACTCCCATCCCGAGCTGCCCCTCCGCTGGCACGTCATCAATCGATCCGATGGTGCCATTAGCGCGGGAACGTCCAGGTTACGTACGTAACCCATGTTTCCCGAATAGGGAACAGAGACGTGTGTCTCCACTGCCACAGCACCTGAGTCTCCAGCTGGGAGCTGAGTGATCGGCTCTTCAGCAGGCAAAATTCTGACGAGCTAACTCACACAGCCGACTAATATAGCCCTTATTGGCTCATCAGTTTCAGCTGTGGAGCTAAGCTCCGCCAATTTAATTGGCATTTCATTGGCCCGTTTTTATATCTTCAGAAAAGATTGGTCGTCTAAAGCACTCCCAAAGTCTGTTTATACAGATACACGTCTCCGTTCCCTATTCGGGGAACGTGGGTTACGTACGTAACCTGGACGCTTCAGTTGCTTCTGTATTGGCTTCCTGAGGGAGAGCAGGAGGTTGGCTGAAACGCAGGACTCATCGACCATTTGCTATTAAAGGAAGGAGCACCAAAGACTACTAATGTATGGGACTTTTTTCAGACTTTGACAGGGACTTTGTCAGTAATTGTTACTGGTAAGTCGATACCGGTGCTAAATCTATACTTTTAAAACTATTCCAGTGCCAAAATGGTGCCTGAACCAATACTTTTTGGCCACAAAATGGTGTATGACTCTAGAAAAATCTATTTTTGACAAAATCTTTTTAAAAATTATTTGAATAGAACAATATAATTTAAGTTTAAAGTAAACATCAATTCATATTTTGTATATTTGAAATACATTAACATATTTTCTTTGATCATTTGTTGGTTGGCATGAATTTAAGATTTGCGTTATGAAATTACATTAGCTTACGGATTTGATCTGGTACATACCGGTCAAAAGGTACCGGTGCTATAATGGCACCGGGTTTTAGTACCAACCTTCTTGCTTTGAGGCGACAGTGCTAACCACTGAGCCACACATCAGAAAGTAACCATGCAGTAAATAATAACACCTATTTAATTTTCCAACAACTTTCACCAACACAAATCCTCTTTGGTGTTAAAGAGCCCATATTATGGGTTTTTGAAAATTCCCCTTCATATAGTGTGTAACACAGCTCTAAGTGAAATGAAGTATTCAGCTAAGGCTTAAATCTGTAAGAGTACAGTGTTTAAAACGGTTGATTCATCTAAAAAAGAGTCGACTCATAGAGCTTCAAACGAGTCGCCTTGATACCGAGTCATTAGGTGTTTCGCCATGATGTACGAACGAAACCAAGTTATTCACGTGCACGCGCAAACCCGGGAGATTTCAAACCAGAGGCCCTGCCCTCTGACACAGAAACCCAGACACACACACACACATCCACAAACACACGCACACAAACATGCCGGTCGATTGAAGTCACACTGCAGATGGATATTATCTAGTCTCTACCCAAAGATGAAACCTCAGCATTATAACCAAGCAGTTGGAAACTACTGGAAACTACATGCTACAAAGAATACTTCATCGGCGTTTGTTAAAGGAAGGATCAGTTAAAGGAAGATTAACTTACTGCTGGACGTCAGGATAGGTTTCTTCCTCCATTTCTCAAGTGTAAGTACGAGCGATTAAAGTTGCCTCGTTTACTCTAGCTTGCAAATGTATTTAGTTGTGATTTGTTACTTGTAATCGCATGTACTGTATCAGGTTAACTGGCTATATTCTCTTATCGCGTGCAAAGTCACGTTAAAAACGCGAC